GCAGACAGCAGTGAGGGCTCTCTAGTGCAAATGTGAAAGTCAACTGGCTGCCATTTAAGGGTATTCTTGTTCTACCTAAGTTCTTGTGAACTCAACATTTTTCAGCAGTAAAACTGTTTGAATTAAAGTCAACCTAGCACCAGATATGTTTTTTCAAATTTAATGTATCACGGAAAGTAATGTGTATGTTTAACACTTCCAGGTATTTTGAACCTCTCACAGAGATCACTGTATTCCATCTGACAATGCCTCAATTTGCTTTCCTTTCCAGATAGATGGCACCAGCTTTGTTGAGGCAAAATGCAAGCTCATTGTCTTCTTCCTGGACTGAGATGCCGGCAGGGAATGCCCTGGTGACAGTTGATTGGGTAGCAGTGGGCAGGTGTGACAGCTTCCTTCTATGTTCATCCCAAACCTAAGGTTGGGCCAAACCCAAGCTAATCCTTAGGCTCCATGCTCACTAGGCATTTTGATAATGCTGGTACTGTTAGCTGTGTAAAGTCACGTTAAAAACGTGTGTTTTTCAGCTTTTTTTTGCGTTTTACGTTAGTGTTAGCGACGTTTTCCCACAATTGGATTTTTTTTTTTTACCCCCAAAAAATTGCGGGGTTCTAACAAACATCCAAAAATGCCAGTTTGAAGCATTTTACCACGTTTTTCAGCGTTAGAGTGTTTTTACAGCTAAAACAACTCTAGAAAACCAACTAGTCCTGGTTTTTTTTTCCAGCCAAGAAATGTCCCTGCCAAAAATCGTTGATTACAGTCTATGTGTGCATGGACATGTAGGATAACATGCTGGGGATTTACTGGCTGTAGAAAAAAACTTCAAAAGCCAAAAACAGCCTGTGTAAAAACGTCCAGTGTACATGAGTACTTGCATGAAATGCTTCGTCTTGCGGTAGACTGATGACATCAGTTCAGCCCAGGCATAGCCATTGGATTGCAGATTTAGGAACATTTTATTAATGACAAAAGGTGGAATTTTTTTCTGAAAAATTATACTGTTGCTGTATATTGTGACATACAGTATTTGGAAATTAATTATGAAGATTTGTAAAGTGACTCACAGGTTTACTTAACATACAGTTTGCTTAAATGGCATTGTTCTGTGCTTCAAATTGTTTACACAGTAAGGGAGAACTCATTGCAAGGAAGGCAGAAGTGTTAGTTAGGTGTGTTTTGTGTTATTTGCTGAATGTGAGACCACCCTGCCTTAATTCTTAGCTCTGGGAGGTTTGTGTGTTCCAGCTCCTCGTGTTACATTCTCCATATTATGAAATTAATATAAAATCCAGCAGGGATGGTGGGGACCTCATATAATGGGCATAGCAGAAGTGCAGATCCAGAAGCTCAGTGCAGGGATGGTAAAAACCCCTCATAATGGGCACAGCAGGTGCAGACTGTAGAACTCAGCAATGGAATGGTGGGAGACCCTTATAATGCACCCAGCAACTGTATACATGCAGAAACTCAGCAGAGAAATGGTGGTAATCCCTTTTAATTGGCACAGCAGATGTGCAGACCCAGGAAATGAGGTGGTAGAACCTCTCATAATGAGAACACATTAGGTACAGCTGGTGTACTTACCTGGTAACTCAGAGCAGGAATACTGTGAGACCCTCATAGTGGGCACAGCAGATGTGCAGACATGAGAAATCAGAGCTGGAATGGTCGGAACCCGTCATAATGGGCACAATAGGTGTGCGAGCCTGGATCTCAGGGCAGAAATGGTGAGAACCCCTCATAATTGACATAGCAGGTGTAGAGAGTTAGGAACACAAGGATGGTGGGAGCTGCAGTGAGTTCCTGGGTGGGAGACCCAGGAACTCTCTGCAGATATTACCAATAAAATCCTTGAGAGCTAGAAGAGAAAGGATAACTCTCCAACATCTACCAGATCCTGGAATATCATTTATGGGTGAGTTGACAATTAAACCCAGTACAGTGTCTGAGACACATTTGAGTATCAGTATTATGCAACTGAATTTTGCAGCTTTCAGTGCAATCATTGCATGTATGACAGACAGGTCAGAAACTGCATGATTGTAGCCTGTCACCAGTCTCTGTGACTCAGCCATGACACAATGTCTGGGTAGTAGGGTGTGATAGGGAGGTTGCCTGTGGCACTCAGTTAATTTTGGCATTTATTGCCAATATTTTAGGCAGTCGGAAGGGACGTTCTGGTCTCAGGCAACCTCTTAACCCTGAAAATGATTTGCTGTCATCTGGTATGACGGAATGTGGTCACATGGATAGAAGACATGAACACAGGCTTATATCATTCAGCAAAAATGAGTTTATAAAAGAATCCAAATCCTTTTCTCCTTATGTCATAATAGTTGGTGTCAAAAGGTTTTCATAAATATGTCAAGCAATGTGACTTATTTATTACAGGTACTTATATACTGTAGTCAGAGAAATAACAGGCGCATGGAATGAGCAGTCCACATAGTCTCTTGGATGGGTGTGGGGTCCAGAAACTGACCGGAGGGTAAGCAGTCTAAATCCCCGGGCAAGCTGTGGTAGAGTGAAGCAATGACTGACGTAGAAACAACGAGAGAGACACAGCACCTCTGAGTGTAGACTGTTAGGTCATTTAATAGTTAAAACATAAGTTTAACAACTCACATGTAGAAAGTTACAAGCAGGCTCATACGGGTTAATTGTGCACAGCGCCTTGTAGTTGAGTTCAGGAATGACAGTGAGTGAGGATGGCGGCTGGACATCAGGGAGCACTGGAGAGATGGAGAAATGTGAAAGCCTGGCAGGTCACTGGAAAATCCGGAGCGGCGGCGATGGCGTGTGATGTCATAGGCAAGCGTTTTGCTTGCTGCTTTAAAGAAGCGCTCTTGTCCACATCGGATCTTGCACATGCTCAGAAACGCGTTGCATGTCTATGACATCACACGCCAGCGCCGCCGCTCTGGACCTTCCAGTGACCTGCCAGGCTTTCACATTAGGCGCTCCTCCATCTCTCCAGTGCTCCCTGCTGTCCACCCAGCATCCTCACTCACTGTGATTCCTGAGCTCAACTACGAGGCGCTGTCCACAATTAACCCATAAAAAAACTGCCTGAAGCTTTAAAAAAAAAAAAAAATATTTATTACATTTTAAAAATGTATTTCTAAAATAAAAAAATTGCCCAGAAATGAACATTTTGATGGAAAGCAAGCTAACATGATGGAATTAAAATAAATGCTTAAATGCAGCAAGTGGAAGTATATAAATTTGTTGGGTTTTTTTGTATTTGCTCAGTCCTCCCCTAAACAATGGCACTTTGACTTCAATAGGGAAGGGCAAAAATAATAACAAGGCAACTTGGTAGTGATGACTTTTCAATGTACATCAGTTCATGATCCAACCAGCAAGTTGGGATTGTCCCCTTGACCAAGGTGTGATGCTACTACTGCAGTTTCTATATACATTTGTATTTGAACTATGCATATGTCTGATGAGGACACTTTATATGTTATTTTTCCCAGCAAATATATTTTCTTTTTTAGTTATATATAAATCATTTTTGTGATTGGTTCTTATAATACTAATTGGTGGATTGCTTGCCACTAGTGACCCCTAGTGGTAAGATGCATAACTGCAGTCTAATGGAATGTCTATTAAAAATAAATAAGTGATGTATAAGTAATAGCTACAAAAAATAAAAGAGTGACATAGCTGAATAAAACGTCCATAATGAGTCCATAAATATAAAATCAATTTGTAATAAAGAGTCTTCCATAATTCACGTGCTTTCTTCTTGTGCTGATATCCCAAACACCATAAAGTAAAATAGTGCAGATAACATATAGTGCCACCTCAGTGCTCACAGAACTCTCACCTCAGAGCACATGGAAATGCGCTTTATGATATCAAATAGACAAAAGGATTCTTCACTTTTTCAATCCACAACCATGTGATAGTAATCAAATAATCAAACACCTTTGAGCTTTCAATAGATTGTCAAACCAGAGCCAGGGAACGTTCCCTTTAAGGGTGATGGAGGTCACACATTCCTATCCTTAAAAGGGAACAAAGGACACTCCCATGGTGCAGTATGTACTAATATAAAAATTTATTAAGAAGCAGTAATACACTCACATGTAGTAAATGAATAAAATGTCATAAAATCATCAGATACCGGCTTCACTTGTCAGCTGAACTCACTATTCACGTCTGCCCAGAGCCAAGCCCCTTACGCGTTACATCACACCCACGTGACTCTCTCATTATTGAGGTAACACAGGGGTCTCACTCCTAATATTCTGCTTACTACTGTAATACATTTCAATCAGGCCTGAAATTTTGCTTTATTTATTCATTAATTGATGTATTTTTCTTTTAGCTTTGGAAGGGGTTTGGAAGGGTTTAAACCATGTTCAGGTGTTTATTACAATCCGTGTCCCCATTGGGAAAATGCACCATTTGTATTTGTCCTGGTTTCCCAGAACATGAAGTGATTCACAGCATTGTGTTGCAGTAGCATGCAATCAAACACACATTACTGCAATGCATAGTAATACCTGAACTTCAATGTGCTGTTTTGTGCTGCTTTGTTCTGGGAGGGGAGGGGGGGGCTTTCTTAGATAAGCACAACCTCCTGCCTGCATGCCTGACCTAAGGGCAGATGGATTTCAGGAAAGAAATGTTGCATGAATCATTTGCCCTTAATCCAGATGGCTGTGGCTAGAAATGCAATGGGGGTAGTGATTTCTCAAAAAATAAAGCATGGATACTTGGATGGATGAGTGAGTTTTCTTCAATATTAAATTAAATAGTATTTGTTGTGCTCAGATACAGTTTAATTCCAGTTTAAATGGCACCACAATGCAAATGCCAATGCACCACAATGGACAATGCAATGTTGTAAAAAAAAAAAAAAGGGCAGGTGAGTTGAATTGTGTGTTAGCTTGCAACATTACACACGGCAAAAGTCTGAATCCGGTCTTAAGTGCAGCTACAATATTTACTGGATAGATTTGGTAGTTATTGACATGGGGACTTGTTTTGCAGGCAGGTGGTAATTCTGGAGAGCGGCGGAGAGGATCGCCCATCAATCTTAACCATTATGCCACCAAGAAGAGTGTTGCTGAAAGCATGCTGGATGTGGCGCTCTTTATGGCGAATGCAACTCAGCTGAAGGCTGTTCTCGAGCAGGGGCCGAGCTTCACCTACTATGTCACTCTCATCACACTCATCAGTCTGTCTCTGGCTCTACAGCTGGTCATTGGAATCCTTCTCATTATTATCGGTAAGAGATTTGAGGGCTTGATTGGGGCAGCATAAAAGTTAAAGCTCAATATCACTTTTTGTTAAGAACAGGGGAGGGGTAGAGCCTCTCTCAGGAGTCATCACTCAGGACATTTCCCCTCACAATCTGCATGGTGTTTGCATGTACTAAGAAGATTGAAAAAAGGGAAAAAGCACCTCTAAGTGCAGAATAATTAGACAAATTTAATAAAAACCCAAAAAGGACAACTCACGTGTGAAAATAAAAAACAGGCTCACCTGTAATGCAGAGGAACATGGTAGCATCTGCACAATGGAACACCAGAAGTTCCCTGAGAACCAATACCATGGGAGAGGAAGCTGGCTTGTGCTTGCCCAGGATCGCTGTGGAACACAGCATGGAGTGCAGCGTGTGCGGGATGACATCACCAAGTGGAGGATATGTTTCTGCCATGTCCAGGCTGAAAAAAAAAATGCACTGGACTGCATCTAATGTGAACTAGGGCTAGTTCACATTAGATGCAGTACAGTGCATTTTTTTTTCTGCCTGGACATGGCAGAAACGTATCGCTATTCTCCCTTTGGTGATGTCATCCCGCACTCCATGCATCAGAAATGCATGCACAGTGTTTTCCATGTATTCCAATTGCCCTAGTTCACACTAGTACAGTCAGTTCCAGTCATTTTCAGGTGCAGAATTAAAAGTAGAACATGCTGCATTTTTTCTGCACAGAACTGTACTGGAACATAGCAAACTGCATCAAAACTGCACTGGAACAGAGTGTGGTGTAAACTGTAAGCAAAAATGTATCCAGAATGCATCCTGAGTGCATTTTTGTGGTGTGAACTGGCCCTAAGGGCTAGTTAACATTAGATGCAGTCCAATGCAGTCAGTTCCAGTCATTTCCAGTGCAGGAAAAAAAAAAGAACATGTTGCATTTTGTCTGCACAAAACTGTACTGGAACATAGCAACTGCATCAAAACTGCACCGCAACAAAGTGTGGCGTGAACTGTAAACAAAAATGTATCCGGAATGCATCTGGAGTGCGTTTTTGTGGTGTGAACTGGCCCTAAAGGGCATGTAAAATTAACGCCATAAACAACTACATCTATATGATGTGAAAAATATGTGTTGTATATTACATACTTACTATGAATGTATTAATCATGTCAAACCCCAAATAGTTAACTAAGGGAAGTAATACCTGTAAATATATATCAGAGTTAATATCTATATATTCAGAAAAAAATTAAACTATCAAAAATGGAAATGTGTTGCAACGAAGGAGTATCTAAACCAAAATTTTATAAAGGAAAGCACGATGAACCAAAAAAATTACTATTACAAAATGGTGCCAACTTCTAGACCTTCATTTAACCCTCCCGGGGAGATAGTATCCAGAACATAAATCCACTAAGTCTCATGTTGGCAGAGCTTATGAAAACACTCTGCCTCCGGGAGACCCCTGGGCTTAGCCTCAATTATCCAAACTCATAAACCAACAGTGGACTTATTGTGAAATTCAAGGAAATGGTTGGGCTCAGTCACTATGCTTATCCTTTGCTCCTTCAATAAGATGACGATGTTCGCCAAACCTCTTTCTAAGCGTTCTAATGGTTCAACCCATATACAACAACCCACATGGGCAAGTGAGAAAGTAGACTACAAAGTCATACAAACAGTTGTAAAAGTAATCAATTTTGTAAGTTTTCACTTTAGTCACACCTTCTTTTTGTCCATGTTGTACAAAACTACAAGTCTTACAAAGTGCTTTCTGGCATTGGTTCATACCCTTAATGTGTTAATAAAGGTTTGGCTTTTTTAAAACAAAACAAACATGTCATACTTACCTGCTCTATGCAATGATTTTGCACAGAACCGCCCCAGCCCAGTCCTCTTCTTCTCGGGTCCCCCGTCACCAATGCTCCCAATAGCAAACCACTTGCTATGGGGCCACTAATGCATGCTCCCTCTCAAGCCTGGCTGTATGCATCCATAAGACACATAGAGTCGTGGCTCAGCTCTGCTTCACCCCCGCTCTCTCCTCATTGGCTCACTGGCTGTGATTGACAGCAGTGGGAGCCAATGGCTCTTGCTGCTGTCTTAGCCAGTGAGCAGAGGAAGTCCCGGGATAGCCAAGGCTCTTGTGCACATTGCTGGATTAAGAGGGGCTCAGGTGAGTATTAGGGAGGGCTGTGGGGAGGAAAAGCACACAGAAGATTTTTGGAATGCATGAAGATAAAAAACCTTGAGCTTTTACAACCGTTTTAAGGGGAAGTAAGCATAATGAGGTCATGGTGCCGTTGGATGCTAAAGATTTTATTTTACCGCGTACCACTTTACCTTTTAAGTTAGGGGTCATTCTGTATGTGACCTTCGATTTATCATTGATGGTAGACTGTAGATGGGGGTTTTGTAGAAGGATAACCCAATGTTTTGCAAGAATACACTCCATTTTTGTGTTGATCATGGAATTGGGTAATGAACCTGACTGTTCACATTCATCTTTTATCAACTTGGGTGGTTTTCAATCAAGGTAGGTAGAAAAGGTGTGATCTAGAGAATCAGAGTACCCTTTATCTAAGAATTTATTTTTCAAGAGGGCACTCTGGGTGATATAGTCAGAGTCTCTGGTGCAGTTCGGTCTCAAACAGCAAAATTGGCCTGTGGGAATGTTCTTAATCCATCGCGGGTCGTGACAACTATCATAATGTAGGAAGGAGTTGCCACGGTGGGTTTAGTATAATTTCATGAAAATATCATCTCCTTATGATGACCCATATTTAGATCAAAAAAGGATAAGTTATCTTTGAAAGAAGTGAAGGATAGGCCAAAGTTGTTCTTACTACATTATGATACAAACTCATCAACTAAGGTGGGAGGACCATCGCAAATGATAATATCATCAACGTAGTGACCATAGAAAATTATTTTGGCTGCAAAGGGGTTTCCTTATCAGATGAATTGTGATTCCCAATAACCCATAGTCAAATTTGGATATGAGTGCGCAAAATTGGCCCCCATTGCAGTGCCATAGATCTGTAAATATTAGTCCCCATCAAAGGTGAAATAATGAAATAATTGTGGGTGAGACAGATTATGGTAGCATTAAAGATGAAAGTGGCTTGCCTGGAATTAAGCATGGGGTCTTGCGAGAATGTCAGGAAAGGCTTGCCCATAGCGCAAGTGATTCTTAGTGCATACATATGCTCATGCGCAGAATGGCAACTGACTGGGCAGATGTGCACAAATATGTTCATAGGCATGAACATGCATGCGCACTCGCACAAACGGGCGTGCACTTGTCACCAGGGCTGGCGTCAAACAGGCTATTTATACAAATCCACTGCACTGGCTAATTGCTGTTTAGCGTGCAACTTCTGTGTGTATATATCCTGATTCCTGTGTTTGACTTCTGATATTGACCCGGCTTGCTTCTAACTCTGCTTGTTTGCTACCTATGCCCTGATCTCAGCTTGTTCTCTGGATTTTGCTTCAGCCTGATCTGCCTCCACCGCTGCTGACACTGGCCTGTGACCCGACTTCACTCATGTTTGCCATTTATGGCTGATTTGCTTGTTTGTTGCCAACTCGGCTTGTCCAACCCTGCATCCTGCTTCATCCAGTCCGCTACAGCTCCTCAGTCCAGCACGCCCTCATCTGGTGCATCTGCCAAACTGCCAATTTGCAATTTTCAGTGCTGTCGCTCTTTGAACGGCAATTGCACATTGTCATACAACACTGCACCCATTTGAAATTTCTATCATTTTTTTCACACAAATAGAGCTTTCTTTTGGTGGTATTTAATCACCACTGGGTTTTTTATTTTTTGCACTGTAAATGAAAAAAGCTAAAATTTGGGTAAAAAAAAGGTTTTCTTTGTTTCTATTATAAAATTTTGCAAACCATAATTTTTCTCTTTCACTGATGCGTGTTGATGAGGCTGCACTGAGGCAGTGCTGACAGGCAATGATGAGGGGGCACGGATAGGCACTGATAGGCTGCACTGATGAGGTAGCACTAGTGGGCATTGATGAGGAGGCACCAATGATGCTGCACTGATGGGCACTTTTAGTTGGCAAGGATGGGCACTAATAGGTAGCGCTGAAGGGCACTGACTTGCAGCACTGACCAGTGGCACTGACTGGCAGCACTGATGGGCACAGATTGGCAGCACTGCTGGGAACTGATGGGCAGACACTGTGGGGCACTAATGGGCACTTTTGGGGCTGCACTGATAGTCAGTGTCGATGTCTTGTTTGACAGTTGCCAGTTATCGGCAGTACTTTCCTCATGGTGTGACAGCAAGAGGAAAGTGCTGCTGATAACCGGCAAGTATATTTACATGGTGGTTAGCTGTGATTGAACACAGCTGATCATGTGGTAAAAGGCCGCTGTAATTGGCATTTTACCATATCATACCATATAAAGGAAACAGCAATCACAGACAGCACCGGGTGCACGCTGCTGGGGGTGCATTCTGGGAGGATGTCATATGACGCCCACTCAGAACTGGAGGATCGTGCTGTAGCCATCATTCTGGTATAGTGCGGTAGGGAAGTGGTTAAAGTTTAAATTCACCCTTCCATTCAGCCCTGCACAGTTGTAGAGGCTCCTTTCCTATACTGAACTAGCTTACTCTGATTTCACTGCACACTGTGAACTTCTCACAATGTGCATTAGAAGCTGCAGCAAATCACAAAGAGCCCTCCTCTGGCTGGAGGGCATCCAGCATCATTTCGTTCTTTCCTCCCCAGACTGACTGTCTCTGGCCTACACAATTTGTGGACATTGCTCACTGTTGTCACCATCAGGAAACCTGCGCTGAGAAATGCAATGTAGCCATCACTGGAGAGTAGGTCTAACTTCAAAGAGGCTGTAGGAGATTACCAACACTAAGATTTAATGAAGGATAAAAAAAAAGGTGAAAAAAAGTGTTTTGTGGAGGAAAAAAATGGGTAATTGTTTATAATACACTAAATGTCATTCAATTAAGGTTTAGATGTACTCAGATGTAGTCTTACAATCTTTCCTTACCTAAATCCATCATTTCTAATCCCCTCTCCAGCTCGGAAGAACCTAAACGACGTTTCCAAGCAGCAGGATCTGGATATGCTGAACAATGTGGCGACCGCGCTTGTGTTTATCACCGTTCTCCTCAACATCTTTATTACAGCATTCGGGGTGCAGAAGACAGGATTGTACCCCTCCAGGGGGCCACGTGAGGTGCAATGAAGGATCACACAGGTATGCAGCAGGGGGAAGAGTAATGTCACAGAGGCAGCTGTATAGATCGCCAGCTAGGGAAGGCCCTCACTACGTGCCTTACATAACTCAGGTTAGGTTTTGTGATGTGAGTTGTAGGAGTTTTAGTAACCCCCGCAAGTTTAGCACAGAACTCTATCCTTCCCTTAAAGTGATTGCAAACTATATATATTTTTAATAACAAACAGGTTTATGCTTATCTGCTCTGTCCAATCCAGAGTGGCCCCGAATCTTCTCTTCTCAGGCCCCCCTCCAGCGCTCCTGGATCCTCGTCTTCTTGATGTGGCATCATAGGAAGCTGCTTCCTATTGTGGCAAATGTGTGTGCTTGACCCCAAGCCGTGCTGCCTGTGTCCATTAAAACAGACAGTGCAGCTTGGCCTGTCCTTTCCTCTCTCATCACAGGGTAAGATTGACATCAGCGGGAGCCAATGGTTCCTGATGCTCTCAACTAAGCCTGTGAGAGTGGAGAGAGCCACTACAGATGGACACAGCACTGGATGAATGCTAAAGTAAGTATAAGGGGGGGGGGGGGGTTGAGGGGACATACTGCTATCCAAACATTTTTTACTTCAGTGCAAGGAATGCCTTAAAGGATAAGTTCACCTTTCTAAAAAAAAAAATAAATGCACATTTTTTACAGGTAAAACAATGTGTATTATTTATTTTTATTTATTTATTTTAGGTGATAGCGGGTGCAATACACTGCTTCTGCAGACTGTTAGTGTGACAGGCAGTTACACAATGACAGGAAAACTCAATGAACTACCTAGAGCACTCACTAGCACCCTCCTGGTAATTCATTTAGTACTACAAGCCATCAGCCACAAAGGCTGTTGGTACTTGTAGTTCATTCATTCACAAAACTCTGAATGAACGACTTGGCCGTGGTCTGTCAAATTGTGAAAGTGGGTGCTCTAAAAACGGGTGGAATATGTAATATGTTCCCAAAGGTGATCTTATCCTTTAAAGGTAAAAGGTTGAGGCTTTAGAACCACAGTCTGTACAGTTGTAAAGGCTCCTTTCCTGTATTAAAATTGCTTACTCTAATATTACTGCACTCTGTTAGCTTCACACAATGCACATTAGAAGCCACATCAAGGCAGATAGAGACCGCCTAGCCCTTTTCTTCTCAGCCCTTAGGCTGGCCATACATTATACAATTTTCTTGAGATTTTTGGTTTAGATTTACCAAAAAAAAAATATAATAGGAAGTCAAACCTAACAACACTTTCAATTATATCCAATTAGGCGGGCCCTTGCACTACATAGTTGATCTAAAGGAAATTGGACAGAAAATTGTATAGTGTATGGCCAGCCTTACTGTCCCTGGCTTGCCTCCTAAATTGATTAGCTTGTAGTTTTTTCAATCAGAGAGACTCAGCATCACATGTGGACATTACCTATGGCAGTTTTCATGCCAATACAGTTTACTTTGGAACTCCCACTCCTCTAGACTGACATCCACCCAAGGCTTTAATAAGGCTAGGTTCACATTTATGCGAGTCAGGATTGCATTCATAATCACGCACGTTCCTGACCTGCAGGCAAAATGTTCTGCTCTTTTGTTGATGCACTGTGGTGCCATTAATTCTTGATAGCACCCCCACACATTGGAAAAAATGGCACTTTTTCACATGATTGAAACTGAATGCTGCCCATAGCACAATGTAGTTCCATGCGTTGGGTTTGGGGACATTTTTTCTTCATGTTTTCCACAAGTACAGCAACACATTTAAATGGATGGGCCACTGTGCCTGCACAAACGCGCCTGCACAGACCTGCACAGATGTGAACCTCAACAAGCCTACTGCTGAGTTGGGGGCTCTGGAGAGGAGTACTGAAGAAGGATGATGTGATGTTTCCAAGAACTAATGAATAGCCATCTCCTCCCACTAGCCATGTTCTGCCTGCATTGCATGGAGAAACGCAGGGATATCATCATTGGGTCTAAAATATGGTATGCAATGAAAACGGAAAGATTTTATTAACAAATGTCATTAGCATGTTGGTCGGGAGGGAAGGTGGAACCAGGAAAGGCAGACAATAAGTAAATTAAACTTCAGCTTTTAGCAATTATAAAATTCCTTCTAAAGAAATAACTTTTTTTGTTTGATTTTGTTGTATGTTGTTTTGAATAGAGTGTGGGAACCCTTCTCAGGTTTATATGGCTGTCTGTGTTCCCACTGGGGAGATTCATCCTGTTTGTCGTAATAACTGTTGTCACTGAGAAAGAAAGTCATGTAAAATCCAAAATGTTAGACTTGTCACTGGAACAGGAGGTGAAAGGAAATGTTCCAGTGGGGACACCTGTTCTATAATACAGGATTGTTCTGCTCACAAATGTTTAAGGCTGTTCTGCCGCCCTCTCTGAAAAGTGATTTGTTTTAGGGTACGGGTGGTTTAGAGGTAATATCTTCCTCCTATTTGCCTGTTTTAACCATTGAGAGTTCAGAGCACCACAACCACCTGCACCACTGCCCGATTCAGTCACATTTGCCGACAATTCCATCCTTCCAAATGTGACGGGTTTTATCATTTTTGCCATGTCGCTTCTACGGTTGAGGGGGGAGTTAATTGTGCCTGTATTTACTGCCCACTTAAGCAAGACCAAACAGAGGATTTCCTTTAACTTCTTCTCTCTCCCTGTTGTGTAATCCTGGAAAGAAAGTGAAGGGAAATCTTTCCAACCGAACAGAACAATAGAAAAGAAAATTGGCTTTGGATACAATTTAAAAACAAAAAGCCAAAGTGCACAGCTGTGAACAGTAATTGTATCTTCTCTGTGTTTTAGATCTGCCATCCAATGTTCCTGTCCTTTCTCCTGGCTCCGATCTTCTAACAATTCATCAACCACAAACGTTTACAATTCCTCTTATTTGTATGATTATTAATAAATAGACTTAATGTAAGTGTGCAGCTTCTTCTTAATTAACTGATATTTTTAGCATTTGTTGCGATCCACACAACTATTTTGTATTCCTACAATTAACTCACAACATATTTCATTTTAGCCAATACTTTAAATCTGACTTCATAATAAATTTTCACCCGACATTTGAAAGTTGAAATCAGGCTTGCAGCTGGGGTAAGTGTTCTGTAAGATAATATACGGGGGGGGGACTTGGATGGGCTGAAGAGAGCTCAGGGAGGATGACATTGATGTTCACCAACAGTCCAATCAGCAGGCAGGGCAGTGGTAGGAACATTGCAGACACACACACACACACATTGAAATAAGCGTGATAATTATGTGATATAGTTAAAAAAAAAAATTGTACATTTAGTATTGAAACACTTTTTTTAAAAAACAAAGATGTATTCCATTTTATTTAAATAAACTATGAACTTTCACATACAAATGTTCTATTTCTTTAGGTTCACACAACAGCATTCGCTGTAAATAGACTTCAAGAGCTGGGAGATCAGATTAAACACACTGCAGACTTACTTAAACAAGAGGGACACTCCTCTCCTCCTCCTCTCTGTCGGTTTGTCAATTTACCCTTCCTACTCTGCTTTATACACAGTCCTTACATCAATCCAGACAATGCTGGGCTTTCTTTGTGGAAAGCCCAGTAGGCTTTCTAAGCATCAGGGATGTCTCCTGCTCTAAATGTGTATTTGCAAATAAAGTTAGTGCATAAATAATTATGTAAAACATCACATTGTAAACCTTGAATAAAAATTATAAATAAAATTGTTTACAACATATAATATGTTCCCCCAGCAGATAGGTGAAGAGTGAAGAAAATATTCCCACCTTCTCTCTTCCTCTATCCTCATTTCAGCAACAATTACAGGCACTTCCATTATTAGTCTGCATGAAAACCAGCCTGTGTGCAGGACCTGATGGAAATTTAATAGAAGACTTACAGTTACAATTACTGTTTATCCCCCCTATTTTTTATTTTGCTGTTCTTGTGTACTTTTGCTTTATTTTTTTCATTTTTTACTTTTTATTTTTTTCAATTTAACTTAATAGAAAAGCACACACACTTTACAAATAAAAATGGGAAACAAAGTACAGCATATGCCAAACCAAAACATTTTTTACATTTTGGATTTGGAGGGGAAGAATTAGAGCCCCGTTGGGTTTTTACTGCTCTCGGGAGCATCACTATAAAGATTCCTACTTTCTACTGTCCAACTGACCACATTTTCACCATACAGGAAGTGAGGGGAAATCTCCAAGAGCATCACACACATAATTTTTTTTATTCCTAAATTAAGCAAGGAAAGGCTAGATCCCCTGTCACATTTTTATTGCTGTCCTTGTTCCTGTTTCAAATGTTCCCTCACTTCCTGCTTAATGAATGTCACACCAAGTGCCGGTTCACATACAGTATATGCGGATTGGATACAGTTTGAACCGCATCCAATCCGCATGACATGTGAAATAACATTGCTTCCCATGGTGCCTGTTCACAAATGTCCAGTGCACTGCTGGTGCAGATTCAGTGCGGTTTTAAAAAAGAGTCATGTCCAATTTCTGAGCAGTGCAGTCCGGTTCAGGTGCGGATTACAGGCTATTGACTTCTATGGGAACTGTTTCTAAACCGCATATGTGAACAGGATAAGATCCTAAGCTAATCCTGTCCTGAACCTGATGTAAACCTGACCTGAACTGCTGAACAACTACTGTTCCAATTATCTGTGAAACCTGAGCTTCAATCTGCACTGCACATGTGTGAATCAGCTCTTAGGCTGGCCATAAATGAGTCTGTTTTTTTTTTGTTCCCCCTGATTCCTCCATCTGCATGTTTGAAGAGGATGGGGGAATCCTCCCTGTTGTGTCTTTATATTCTATCAGCAAGGAGACTTCTCCGCTGTCTTAATACACAGATCAGCACTGTAGTCAATTGCCTACATCACTGATCGAGCCTTTTTTTTTTTTTCTAACAGGGCAGTTGTGGTCATACATGGAAAGAAATGTGGCCAGTCCCTATTAAACTAGCTGAATTTCGATCC